CTTACACAAAAGCAGCACCGTTGTTTGGGTTAACTAATTTGGACAAATCTAGAAGGTTCTTGCTTGTGTGTGTGCCTTTGGTTCTCATGTTTAATCACTTTGGGACACTAAAGCTATCAACCAGTGAAACAACTTTTACAAATTTGGTTTTTTGCTACGTGCTTGTTCTCCTTTTTCAGATTATTTTCATGGTTGGCCGAGGGTATGCTTCTCCAGACCTCAGTAAATTGTACAAGAACTGCCCCAAAGCAATGAAGAGGCTTGTAGCAGATTGTTTGAAGAAAGTTAGGGAAGAACGACCTCTATTTCCACAAGTAAGTGTGTTTTCTGCATATAAGTTTCAAAGTATTTTGTAAATAGCCATTAGCACACAGAACATTCTACATAGATACCAGTTTTGGTCTATCTAAGGTGTAGCCTGCTTTGTGTTCTGCGTTTACTCATACGTGCATCTTGGATAACCCTTAGGCAGTTTGCAGTTCTCATTGTACATAGTTCTTGTAAAGGTCATTAAAAAATATTAGGCATGCAGATTGAAGCAGTGTTAGACTAACACTAGAGCGATTTGCTTTCAACAGCTGACCTATTTTAGAGATAAGCAAAAACCCCAACCTACTAACACAATAAAAATCAATTTTGGGTAATTTTACAAAGGATACTTTCCCCCTTCCTGTCACTATGAGGATGATGAAGGTACTTTCTTATACTCATTAAATAGCTGGAATTAAATACCAGCAGATTTTAGAAAAATAACTCCTTGCTGTTCCAATCCAGTATAACTTTTGTTGTTCAAAAAGTTCTTTCTAAGTGTTGTACAGACTGTTAGGCAGAAGATGCAATTCTTTCCCTGTTACTCTGTTGGAGAATTGCATAGACACTTGTTCATTGATGGTAATGTCTGTGAACTAATGAAAAGTATCCTCCTGTCCTCTGAAACTCAGACTCCTCATAGCAAGGAAGCTGTATGGTGTAGTCCTAGTGTGTTGCTTTCAGTGCCTCCACAAAGCATAGTGTTGCTCTTAAAGATATGCCTAAAGCTGTAATAAATGAAGGTTTAAGACTTAAAGACAAGCAGCTCTAACGAGCCTTCTTTTCATTTTCTGTGTGTTTCCCTCAGATACTGTCATCCATTGAATTGTTGCAACATTCTTTACCCAAAATCAACCGGAGTGCTTCTGAACCGTCCCTGCATCGCGCCGCCCACACAGAGGACATAAATTCATGCACATTAACATCTACGAGACTACCCGTCTTTTAGGATCCTGCTCCCCTTCCCTTGTTCTCTCCAGGGACAGGAAAGGAATAGAAGTAACAGAAGTTGTGCTTTTAATGCCTCAGTGTACAGGATCAGTGCCAGCAGGATTATCCGCGTCCCAGTTTTAAGAACAAGCTGCTAAGGATTTCTGCAGTTTTTATCCTGCAGGGACACAGCTCCACATTGCCTTTTTCTACAGTTTCTTTTACTGGGATAGTTAACAGACTATAAATCAAGAGGTCTATTACTATTTTTTTAATAGATGCACTTGAGCCTTATTTTTCCCATACACAGAAGCGATGGATGTTTCTTTGGCGGTGTTTCTGGATTGATTTGAATCTGTTGATAAATTGGTGTATTTTACAGCAAGGATGGCGTGCCTCGGCGCTGGAGGGAAGATGATGCCTTATGGTGCTCCTTGATTGCCCTGTGCCATATGCCACTTCAAGCTGGGGGCGTTCTGCCTGAAATGGGTATCTGCAGACAAGACTGAGGGAAGAGGAAAAGACTTTCTGGAAATCAGCTCCTGCCTAAGAGCTTTCATCAAGCCAATGAAATAAGTTAAAATGCTAATTCAACACAAAATAGTTTTGCAATAGTTTTGCACATAGAAGAAAAACTCTTGCAAAAGAATGGAATATATTCTGAATTGTACTGCTCAGAGAAGGAAGCTAGCCAGTCTTGCTACGGTCATCTTCAGTAACTTAAGCAGCTTATTTTGGTACTATTGACTTGTTTCTTGCAGCCCAATGAGGTGGTAAGTGCAGAAAGACAGGCTTTTGTGGCTGAGAAAAGGCTAATTAACATTATCTGTATACTTCTGCGAAATGAGCATAGTCTTTGTCCCATCTGAAGCTGTCCAAGAGATGCACTATCAAGAGGAAACTGAGCATATACAGTTTTTCTTGCTGATTTGGGTTTTAATTTTGTTTTTATTGCTCCTGAGAAAATGCATTTATTGTAAGCCAAGGTTCCTCTGATTATCTTATTTTAATAAAATAAATTAAATTTTAGGTTTAAGGTTCAATGTCGTCATTTAATGTAGTAATCCACAGTTCTGACATGTACGTCTAGATTTGAAAAAACTCAGAAAATGACATTCTGAAGAACTTTTTTAAAGTTACTAGGATAGGTAATAGCAGTTAAAGTAAAAACACACTGGATATGACAACCTGTAGGTTTCCAACCACATTCTTTACAAGATGTTTTTTATTCTACTGTAATAATCTTTCAGCAGCATCTACTTATTAAGCTACCTACGCTGATGTACTACCAGGCCATTTAACTGCACCATTTTATTTTGGGTGAGCCTGTTTCTACTTGGATAGAAGCGAGTGTTTTGTTGTCTTGGCTGAACTTCACAGATGACAAAAAACAGGTGGTTTAGTCTAAGAATTTATTTTTTAAATAGCATTCTGTTTAAATGTGTTCATAAGGGAAAGAACGGAAGCAAAGTTTCCATTCTTGGAGATGCACGTGGATAGGTGCGGGGCTCAGGTCTAGCGAGCAAAGAGACAAGATGGCTACAGCTGCTGTTCCCTCAGTCTAGACTGCTGCCTAAAATTTGTTAGGCAAAATACTTTTGCTGTGAATGTTGGCAGCTTACACGTGCAACTCCCAACTGCCTGGGATGCCCAAATAGCCGCTTCTTTTTTGCAGCAAGCAAAAAAGCCACAAAGCGCTTGTGAAAGGGGAGAGAGGAACTTGAAGCACATAAGCCAGACGCATGCTTAAAAGATAGTATCTAGGCTGTTTGTCTTCAGAATATTGTATAACATTGTAAGAAGGGTGGAATATTGATCCTTAGGTGATAACTGAGCATGACCTTTGCTTGCTAAAAAGTAAATTGAGTTGAAGGAAACTGTTCCATATAGTTCTGCATGATTTTTAAGAATATTCTTGGTATTTTAACTGCATCCCTCTCTAAACATAATTTATCACTTATTCATTATAATAAGAAAAAGTTTAAGAAGAAAAAAAGGGAAATGGTAAGCTGCTTTTACTTTAGCTCTGATTTCCAAAAAGAAACAATTAACTCCTAATTTTTAAAACTGGTTATGTATCTCTTGAAAAAATCAAATATTTTTCATAAAGAAAGAAAGAGGCTTAGTTTGACCAGCACTTGATGTTAAATTAGATGAAAGCTGCCAAGTGAAGAATTTGAAAGGTCTGAGTTGCTAAGTCTTACTGCTCTTAAATTAAAACTTCTGTTTATGTTGTGCCTAGGTAACTTTGAAAAACAAGTTCTCTCTTTAATTTCAGACTGCTGTTACCTGGTTTATGTCTTCTTGGGGCAAAGTAAATCAAGAATGTCTTGTTTAAGGTAAAGAAGTTACATTTCCTCAGTCAGAGCAGAGAGCAGAATTTGCATGTTCAATGTGAGGGAACTGTTGGCCCACAGAGATGGGGGGAGTTCTCCCTCATCTGTTGGAACACGTATAGAAATGTAGTATTTTCATCCAGGATGTGTCTCAGCTTCAGTTTTGACCCAGAAATGCCAGCAGATAAGCCTGGAGTCACTAATTTGGTTCCCTTTAAAAACGTTTCAATCCCAGATTAAGGTTCCTGCTGTTTGCCTTATGACAGTGACCCAGATCCTAGTTTTTGACCCCCAAAGCAACACCTTGTTTGCTGTGCTGACATAAGGTTTTTTTGCACAAGTGTCTCTAAATATACTTGCTTCACAATACAAATAATTTCTGTTGTCTCAACAATCACGCTTTCTGGAATGCTTGAGTCTTTAAGCAGACAAGCAACCTTTCGAGGGTGTCCTCAAGCCCAGGGTTGGAATTGGCCCTCTGCTTACTTGAAGATCGTGTGCTGAATGTGCTTGAGAAAACTCTGCTTGTACTCGAGTGTTTTAATGTTTAATTTTTGTAATGATGGTAATTACATTACAATTTGGTGCATTACCCAGTAGCTGCTTCAGTTGTGTCCAGACTGAATTTGTAGTTAATTCTGCTAAGTCATTTGTACTAACTAACTTTGCAGTTAAACTTCTTGTACCAAATTTCAAAATCAAATTGCTTTTGCAAGGCTAGCATGAATTAAATTTTTAACTCGGATGCACCTTAATACCCAACAGCTCCTGGGCCCTTAGCATTGCTGTCCTGCCTGGCTGTGTTACAGCTTCAGCAAGGTGTTTCTTGCTGTGTTTGGGGCACATGGAGAGAGAATAGCAGCAGATAAAACCAATTGTTTCTTTGGTAACTGAAATGATTTATGTTGTAGAGTTGCAAACTATAAGATCACTGACCTTATGGAGATCAAAAAACTATTTAGTTGTTACTTCATTTAATTTTGGCTATTTCATTTAACCTGAATCGAGGTTTCCCAGTTAGTTACACACATTTCAACTAGTTAAATTGAAGTAACAGTTGACTGTTACTGTTGTGATGACTACTGAAAGCACCTTCCTTACTCTCACAATGCCGTTTCCAAAATCCAATTTGTGCTCTAAGTGTAATTTAGCTGTAGGTTGCATTGCTCTGCCTGGATATATTCATGGATGGGTACAGTTGTATTTATTTGCTTTACAGTGGGTGCTCTGAGAGACACTTCCTGCTGCTGCCCATTTCAATTATTTTAAAACAAGGGCACAGTCTTTGACAGAGCCCCGCTACCGAAACACTTGCTGCAAGAATACAGTAGCTCGATTCTGAACTCTAGGTACTACGTTGAGGTATAAGTGTGTATTAGTTCTTAAATAGTCTTTTTAAGGAAGAAAAAGCTACACTGGTCATTATTCCCAGTGAGTTTTTGTAGATATATATTTAGTTGGGAGGGGGGAGCCCCCAAAATATTTAGCAAGAGTTTTTAACAGCTTAAGCTTTAAATGGTAAGAGGGGAGCTGTATTTACACTACCACTCAACTCACAAGACAGCATATGCTAGGCCAAAGAGGGAGAAAGCCCTCATGGGATTAAGGTATTTGTTTTTCCATGCAATCAATTTAACCTTTTAAATATATTTTAGTATCTTTGTTGCCATACAAAAACTATCTGAAAACTTTACCAGGACTGCACAAGTAAGCCACAGGGCACGTTCATTCTAACTGTGCTGTAGAAAGTAAAAGCATCACTAAGTAAATAGCTAGATTGCTACAGAAGACAGCACCTGTAGTCCTCCTCTTCACTGAGAAGTAGCAGAATCCTCATCAGCCCCAGAAAGGGGCATGAAAAGTTCTCCAAGCTCTGTTACTTCGTCGTCTGTGCTGGTGACAGTCCTACTTTCTCTGTCTTCAATGAAGTCCCACAGCCGAACGGAATTGAAGAACTGGAAAAGAAGAAAATCCAACTGAGCATGAACCACAACGTGTCACGGTTCCATCATCGGTCTTATTTCTTCATTTAGAAAAAAAAAAGCTGAAGTTGAGATTCAAAAGCTGGGTTTGTGCCAGGATTCATGAACGTTCTTGGCAACACTTGCTGTTAAGTTCAAAGCGACGGCCGCTCTCTGTAGCGTTGCACTGTGAGGTCAAACTAGCCCCGTTAACAAGCTGCTTCTAAATTGGGCAAGGCAGGCCTACCGGTTTATTCAGGGTGGCCCTAATGAGTTTTAGAGAAGGCTTTAACCATTTTAAGCCAGTCTTATGGCCAGCTCTATGCCAGCAAGCAAGGTGAGTTTTTCATACTGTGGGTGAAAACCTTAACAGCAGAATTCCTGTGAAGAAAGGTGCCTTCTCCTTTCCTCAACAGCAAACCTTTGCCTCAAGGAAAGTTTGAGGGATGCTTTCTTCACTTCTCCAAGGCCAGGTGTGGTATGAAACCTAGTTAAGTAAAGTAGCACACTTTACATTCAAAACGTGGTTTTAATTACACTTGACTGGAGTGTTCCCTTACCCGCACAGTCCCCTCAGAGCTGAGCTGTTTCCGTGGTTTTTCAGGTTCAGCTCGTGTCCCATCTGGATAAGCATGAAGGTAAAGACACTTTCCTCCAAAGGGGCAAGTTCCTTTCCCTTGTTCAAAGTACTTGCAGGGCTTTTTCCTGATTTAATTAGAAGAGAGAGAAAGTTAACAGTTACTGCCTTCAGCTAGTGGGAAATCGATTACAGCTCACTCTCTGTGGCTGCTTATCTCCTCCTTAGCCAGTGACACAAAGTACTGCTCCTGTTAGCACCTCAAGAGCCTTGGTCACCTGTTCCCTGATAGCAGTCAAAACAGGTGGGAAAGATTATTAAAAGCAAACAAAGAAACACATAAGAGAACAGCATCATAAGTCAAAAAAATTAAACTATCTATCTTAAGATAGGGAAAGTGAGGGATGTTCAAAGAATGTCATCAGTCCTACACATGGATTTTCATCATCGTGAGCAAATCCGTTGCAATTTCTCTAGCAACACTCCACGCCCGTATTTTCCACCACTACATTTTTATGAACATGTTCCTCTCCTCATCTCCTTTGGAAGTTCTACGACAATACTTTGTTAATTTATGTTTCTGGCAGCTTTGTTGTTTGACTAAGCTGTTCCAGCTCTGTAGCAAAGTTTCAGGAAGGTGTTCCCTACAAAGGCCACGCAGCAGTACTCGGGGCAGTAGGGACAGGGCTGATGGATTGTTCTACAATGAAAAACATCTGAAGAGGAAACGATAGAGAAAATGCAATAGACCGTGTAGACTTAATATGCAAGGAGTGATGAAACTGTTTCTAAAGTCATAGATACAATCCATCAAATAGCAACTAAAGGGAGAAGAAAGCACAACAATAATAAAAAACCCCCAAACCAAACCACTAAACCCCCCCCAACCAGAGCAGGGCATTAAAAGCAGAATGAATTTGTCTTGGTTTGGAACTCGAGTCATCTGTGACTTCCAGGTTTCTAGGGATGACTTCTTCCCTCCGGCACTGGCGTATAAACTGGAATGGTTTTGTGCTGGTGTGACCCCTCCTCTTAGCTTGGATGCCCCTTCAATTAGCATTTTTTTATTCCACGCAAGACTAAATCCTCAAGTTAAACTGACTCCCAAGAGATCTAGCCATAAAAACCTCTTTGGTACAGAAATTCTACCTACCACACAATGTATTAGTCTTAGCTGAGCACTTAAGCAGAAACCCTTTTTGTATTCTCTTCTATACAACCAGCTGACAAGAGCCAAAACCCAACTTCTGACACCATCTGACACCACCTGACACCTCTATTCCAACAACACAAACGCTTCCCTGGCTGGGGACGTGCACCAAGCCAAGGCTTCTGAGCGCAGCTTACCACCCTCGATTCAAAGTCCTTATGAATCAAAATGAAAAACCAGGACAGCAATAGGGTTTTGAAAACAAACCCTATTCTGTAGAACCTCAAGTTTAAAGTGATTAATTTTATTCAAGTATTTTGCCCGACACTAAAATAAAATGAGACAAGATGCTGGATTCATTTAACGGAGCTTTCAACAATCCCTCTGCTGTGTTAAAAGAGGACTTGAGAGACTTAAAGCTTCCCGAGCGGCTGAAAACCGAGTAGCAACAGCTACACGCAGATTTAAGTTCGGCCGATTTTTTCCTGTACTCCAAAGGGCACATTTAAAAGGTTGGTGCAGAGAAAAGCTGGCACAACCTTCAGCGACATCGTCATCGCTCACTCAGGTCAAGCACAGATAGATGACAGAAGGAATGCAGACACTAGTTGTTTCCGCTTCCAGCAGACATTACAAAAGCCCTGCGAATTCTTATCCCATACGTCAAGAGACTCTTACATTTTCCTTCCCTACTCATTCTCCTCAGTAACTGACAAACCTTCCAGGGAATTACGGGAGCAACAGAAAACGCACGAAATCCCATTTTGGCAAGTGAACCGAAATAGCGTTAACATTTCAGAGCACACTGTTTGAATAATTTCTGATCTATAATCATGCAACAGACCCTTTCGTAGCAGTCACAGAGTGAAATAAAAGTGTTAACAGAGATTAAGAGTTCTCTGTAGAATGGTTTGTAATTACGTAAAGTTTAAAACTGCAGGCACTGTGATTGACAAACTCTTAGTGCATCTATCTTAAAGGACAATGTAAATAGTATTTATGGTTACTGAACTTACCCCACTCCCTGCTTAAATGCTTCAATCAGCTCATTTTTCTTCTCCTGGTCTTCCACCCAATACGCACTGGGAATGACGAACTCGGATATCACACGGCACTCCGGGCAAGACCTTAATGGATCGAGACAAAACAGCAATGCGCTATTACTTCCCAAGAGCGATACTCCTCAATAAATTAGCCAGAAAGAGCAGTCCCCCAGGTGAAAAGGAGATGGTTTGTCACACTGAAGCATCAGCCAACACCTCACAGGTCAGTACAGCACACGCGCACTTTTGATATTGGTTTCAATTGAAATCATAACCCAGTTCGGTGCAGTCCAGGTTTGCGCTACCTTGCGTTCGTTTCTAGAATGGAACAAAAGTAACAGGTATTTCCTCGACGCGCAGAAATAAACCATGACTATTCCATGAGTACTGCAGTTCCCATGCAGCAGAAAGCCAAACCAGCTGGGGGCAAAAAAAAAAAAAAAAGGGCAAAGGAAGGTCTCTAAGCCTTCTGAAACGTGATCTGACTTCTACCAGCAGCGATGAGTTGTTCACTTAGCGGTTTTACAAGATGGATTTCTACATGAGGGACTAAGATCAAACGTGAAATATGCAACTTCAAATACCACAACAAGCCTAGGAAAGGCTTTATTACCTCCTCCCCGTAAGTCCCATGAAACACCTTGTCTCTCAGCAGGCAATGCTTTTAGAACTAAGCCAAGTCCCTCCTTTAGATTAACTCTGCAACGACCAGTATGTTCGCCATTATGGAGAAATGTAAAAAATATGTTTGAAGAATTTGTGTTAGTATTTAATCCATACTCAAACTGGTTTCCAGTGTGCTGTTTCTGAAAAAACCTCCTCACAGTCCCTTCCTACTGTCGGCAGAATCTCTCAGCACCTGGCCACCAGAAGCTCGACTCCAATACAGGTTATGTTCTGATGAGCCAACGTTTGCTTCAATGAAAGTTGTGCGGAAAGGCCTGTTTTGGCAGAAAAGTTGAAATATTTCCCACTTTTTCCTCAGCATGCTTGTGACTTGGGAAAGTTTTCGAAGAGATATTCAAAACCAGAAATTTCCCTAATTGGATGTTTTAAATTCTCTCATCTAAGGAATGCATTTTTTATAGAGCTAGAGGATGAAGGCATTTACTCGGATAAAGATAAATGTGTGATTAATGGGACACTTAGCTTGAGTAAGCTATCATTAGGAGAAAAATCCAGTAATTAAGCACATACATAGGAAAAAAGGAGCTACTGTTCTTGGACGGGGGTGCTGTGAAGGGCATGGGTTAACAAGGTCTCAGCGGTTCCAGAGTTCACATGCATGCACTCTGCCCCACCGTCCACGCAGTGAGAGAGGGCCAAGTTACAAAGGGCCATGCTCTGCCCATTCGGGACTGCAGGATGTAAGTTGGCAAAGGACACCCGATGCCTCCTATACGCCTTGAAGGTAGTTCTTCTCGTAGTCACACTCCAGCGTCCTGGAATTTGCCAGCGCTTGGACCAGGATTTTCTGAGCTCAGATCTTATTCGTGGCTATGTTAGTATTTACAGCTATGGAATCCCTCGTCACCAGTTTTATTTCTGTCTCAAGTCAAAGCACACTGGAGAGCCCATCTCACCCACACAGGCCGCAGAGGAGAGACTCTGGTTAACACCAACTTACTTTATGATTGGATTCTCGAACTGCTTGGCACATCTCCACTGCCGGATGCAAGACAAGCAGTAGGTGTGATTGCAGTTGGAAAGGATCCCAAACCTCCTCTCGGAGGCCGATGGTTTCTCATACACCACTTCCATGCAGATACTGCACACTTTGTCCTGACTTGCCTGAAAGGCAAAGGCCTTCTCCATGTCATGCTCGAATGTCGCCATGCACATCTGTCACAAGAGAGGTCACAGGTTATTGCAGGCCATGTATCAGCCAGCTCCTTGTACAACAAAAGTGTCTCTGAAAGAGATCGATTACAAGAAAAACGAGGTAGGCTGATTAACAGCATCATTCCTACCCTTCATCGTCATAATTTCATTTTAAGAACATTAAATTCAATCACATATTTCAGCCCTTCAATGTTCTCTGCAGCTTCAGGAGTATCAGAAGTAAGGCTGCCTGAACGCTCTTAGTTTACACCTTTCTATCTCTCTGTCATGGAACAGGTAGTGCACAAGGAGATGCTTCAAATAACCCCGAAAAGCCACCTAATTCAGGGTCCAGAATAGGTGCCACACTCGAGCTGTTACTCTGCTTATCATTAAGGCCACATTCATTCACCGGATACCAAGCTTCACCCTAGCTAAGGAATTAGTTCTCTTACTACAGGCTTTCCTACAGCACCTCTCATCACAGTATCCCAGGAGTGACAACCAATAACCAATTTACACTCTCACAGCACTACAAGGTGAGGTGGTCGTTATATCTGTATAATTTTACCTCTTACTTTTCAAAATTCTCAGGCCTTGACCAGTAAAATAAATTTAAAAGACTTTAAATAATAATAATAACAATAATAATAATAGACACAAAATAATTCCACATCAGTAGCAGCATTTTGACTACTGCACCTTCTCATCCAACACACACCTCTGCTTCTGGAGTGGAGCACCTGACAGCAGCGGTGACGGGACACCGTGCCAGATACCAACAAGCTCCTGGGAGAAGCCAACCCCTACAGCAGCACATTTTGCCAAGTATATGCTGACTGCACAAAAACTGAGGTTTTTAACCCCTTGGATTCTACTCCAGACTCTGGAGAGATTTATGATTCAGTAACCACTAGCACTGCTGGTCTTCCTCCTCCTCAGCCTTGAGAACTCCTGGCCAGCCCTGACCTAAATCTGGTAGCCAGGCAGAGAAAAGAGCAGGCCCATAAGCCCATCTTTACCCAGCCAATTCCTCACCCGGTCCCTCCAGCTCTCCTACTTCAGGTTCAGCTCCAAAACCTTTGTACTCCGTTCAGTCTGTCCCTACTTGGCCCTGCCCTGAAATCAGCCACGACCAAGAAGAGACGTCTGAAGGGGTGACTTGGCAGACTGGCAGGGCGATCTCTCGGAACGCACCAGCAGCCCACAATTCCTCTCCCCCGCCGTACACAACGTACCACTGAGATGGCATGTAAGCTACAAAAGACATTTTCCCGGTAGAGTTTTTAGGGAGTTCTGGGAGAAGGCTACAGGCAAGCTTCCCATAAGGATGAAATGGGAAAAAAAAAGAAGATGCTGTTGTTAAAGGCTATCTGCATCATCGTTACCAATTAAGTCCCTGATGCTTGCACAGACCACTCTTAGAATCATTTTACAACTAGACAAACAATAAAACAAAAGCTCCTCAGAAAAACAGGCTCTTCTACAAAACACATCCTTGGATTTTAGAGCAAACAAACCAAATCTTGCGCTGAGCAAACCAAATCTCACTCCGATTTCATGATAATGTTACCATCTCGTGAGCCTTCCTCTGCTCTTGGTCGAAAGGGTGAAGTACTTGCAATCCACATATCTCACACACGTCTCCATGGAGGTAAAGGCAGCGATCTCCGAAGTGGCACGCTCCCGCTGCAGCGTAAGGGCACAGCTGCTCTCCGTCGGCACAGGAACTTCCAGCTACCGGATCTTCCAGTCCGCTGCAAATAGCTTCCAAATATGAATGGGGCTTCATTTCCAGATTATCATTTTGGTCGCTGCAACAGACCACGTCGCTTGTAGCACTGGGCTTCTGCTTTTCTTCATTCAAGCCACACAGATCTTAGGAAAAAGAAACGTAATATGAGCCATACAAGACACTGCACAAAACCCACACAAGAAGCTCCATATACTTTCTTTCCAATGATTACTGTTTTGTTTTTTGTTTTAAAAAAGTTTTCTTCTCCATGAAATCTCATCTCTAAGCCCCTAATTTAATCAGCAAGTATTTTTACAAATTACCTACTGAAAAGTCCAATTTCAATGTCTCTGCAGCTGTTTTCTGGTTACAAACAGGATAAAAAAAATCCTCTCATTTCACATGAGGATAACTGGCCCATGCAGTG